ACACACACACACACATATTATATATATATATATATATATATATCGTCACAAACAGAATATATATATATATATATGTTTTAAAGAAAAAAAATTCGGAAAGTTTTTTTTGGAGAGTAGGCAGGCAAATGGATTTATTGCTCCCAAAAAGATTCCCCGAAGGGAACCTCCCGTTTGTTATGATAGGATGTTCTGCTGGATGGTAGGCTGTAACCGAAGGAAACCCCTCCACCAGGGCCTGCCACGGGGCTTTCCCCTCCTGGGAAATTGTAACGCGGATTCCCACCCCTCTGGATGGATACGAACCGACAGGAGAATAGCCCAATGAGGCCCCTACTCAATCAGAACTGTCCCCCACTCGGCCGAATGTGCCTTGGAACCGGGCCAACCCCGCACCTAGGGTATTGGTTCCTCGCCTAGACCCGATGGGCTACCATTTGGACCATCGTGGAGGACTGAGGCGGTCAGTAGACCCGAATTTTCTCCAGGATATATAGTGCCTCTTCAGTAGGTATAATCCCTCTTTGATGAACAGTGCCCGACGGCCTGTTGTGTGGTCTCACGGGCTGGCGTGTCTTGCGCCTGTTGAGTATGCGCATATTCCTGGTGCTATTGCCATCCTTACGGCACAGCCGCCACTTGCTGCTTTGATGGCACGGTGCCCCTCGGAGACTAACGGCGCACGTTTTTCATGAAGCTGTTCCGTCGCGCGCCTGTTCGTCATCCTTGTCCACGTCACGTCGATTGGCTTCGGTTGCCTAGGAGGTAGTGCCTGTACCGCAAGATTGTTGAGTGGTGCCTCCAGCGCCCTCTCCTAGTGGCCCTTGCTTCGCGGCCTCGTGGTGAAGTGACGTGGCATACTTGCTCCAGTTCGTGATTCTCCCGCTTCGCGACATGGCGCCAGGAGCGGTAATGAAGTCTGCTTCCCTTCGTCCCACCACCCACCCCCGTCCCCCGGCCCTGCGTTCCTTGTCTTGTTCTCCCCCCTCCTCTATCCTCCCCGGTCTTCTTTTGTCTAAAGGACCTGGGTTATGCCCGGTATTGGTCCCTGTCCCTTTCAGTACGTGTTGTTGGAGGGTTTGTTCTCTGAAGATCCAACATGATGGAGGCTGGTGAAAAGTACTTAAGGGCGCGCTCCATCACCCTCTTTTACATGCGTCGGCACATTGGGGCCGCTTGACTGAATTGGGACCTCGCTTTCTACTTCTCTCTCTCTCCTCCCTCCCCCGTTTTTCTTGCTTAACCTGCTCACGACCCTGCTTTTTTGAACTAACGATGCTCTGCGACAGTGCTCACCGATTGTTTTCCTCGACTGTTTGTTTGTTGTGAACTTGCTGCGTGGGTTGTTGATGGATTGTGACGTAGGCCCTCTTGTATGCTTCGCCTCTGAAGTTTTAGGAGCAGGTTTGATTCGAAGATGGAATTGCTCGTTGCGGCTCACATGGCGTTCATCTTTGTGATTGCCTTTATGACATACTTAGCTTTCCTATCATTTCTGGACCACCAGTCGTTCCGTTCGCTGCAAATTGCTGAGGTGTTTCGTAACACGTCTACAACCTCTTCTGCTTCCAGATGGTGCCGAGCAGAGTCGCTAACCCCGGGGAGGGGCCGCAGCATTTGAACGGAGGATTTCACTATGAATGAATCCTCAGTTGTGGGGAGTTCGGGTCGTTTGCCAGGGAGCGGTCACTCGGAGTAGAAGTAGTGTTTTGAGAATGGATGTCTTATTGGCTCCCTGCCCCTTTCGCCTTTCACCTTCCCTCTTTCTTTGCATCCCCCTCCTCTTCTTCGTCCTGCTTTCCTTACTCTCCGCTGGGCTATTAGTCTTTGTTTCATGGGCAGCATGCGCTCAACCCGGTTCTGTTTGCTCCATCTTTCCCCCCCTTTCCTCTCTCCCGTGCGTCCTTTGTCTGATCGCCTCAACATTTTGGCTATGCTTGCATGGGTTCGGCCTCGCCTTTATCACTTTAGTCGCTATCTTGCAGCACCGTTTTCCCCCCTTCACATGATTGATGTGCACAGTCCTGATTCGCATCGACACCTCCTTAGTTGCGCAGCCTCCGCTCAGGTGATACTTCAAGGTGTTGCGACGTTCTTCTTCGCCAGGATCGGGATTCCACCAGGACCGATTACTAATTGATCCCATTGTTCTTTCAAGAGGTTGCCATATGGTTTTGCAGGAAGGAGGGGCAGGTACAGCGGTGGGACCCTGTGTGTTTCTGAGGGAAGGTGGTGTTTGATGGCGGGATTGATGATGGGGTGCGACGAGCGCGAACTTGGGTCATGGGTGAGACGCGAATTGATGGCCCCGGGGTATTATGGAGGTGACCTTTGGGGTTGATGCGTTGTTAGCTTCGGATTCATGGAGTGATGGAGGGAGTGACGAGGATTCGTAGTGCCGCCCAGTTATCTAGGATGTTGTACTTCTGAGATTGTCATCAGTAATAGTGATGGCTTGAGGCGG